AGGAAGGTAGTCGGAACCGGGCTTCATAGGGTGGATACGATTAGAGGGAAGACACTTGGATTCCTCAAGCGAGTAACCTCAATCCGTTGACGTTACAAACTGGGAACCGATTCCCACAATCCAATTCGGTTAAATTGAAGGAGTTCAAGAACTACTCGGTAAATACTATTTATTTGTATTTGTATTTAATTTATTATAACAAATCAAAATTTGTATGTGATGCATGTTTTAAAGATGACGATCAGTTAATTCGCAATTAGTATGTACGGGTGTTGTATTTATTCGATAAATACTTACTTTGAAAAATTTTAAATTCTGCTGCTTAAAGCCCGTACGGTACTATCGAACCCAACATTTTACAGGTCGATAAACGAAATTAGGATGACCTCATGTAAAACAATAGAAGGAGAACACACGGGACCATGGCTTCTCTCATGAGTTGCAATAGAAAGCACACAACAACCAAAGCAAAATGCAATAAACTGATGGTGATAAATTAGTAATGATTATTGCTACATCAGTAGCTATACCAATACCATATGTGAGCCAAGAAATAGAGATGTCCGTAACTCCAGGATTTTAATAAGTTTTCAGTAGAGTTGACAGAAATATGGGAGGAAAAAGAGAACCTATGTGAAATCTCTACCTTTTTTTTCAAATATTACAAAAGCCCCTCAAACTGAAACGCAAAGGTTTATTTTTTTCACCCAAAATTCTGAAAAGGGTATTTTTCTCAACTATAAGAAAATCAAAACGTCGGCTTCCATACCTCAACTATGATTATGCGGTGTGGTGGCTCATTTTTAGGGCTTTTGGATTTCAAATTTAATCAAGCTTTGTAGCGAGAAAAATACCGGTCGAGGCCTTGCCAACGATTAGAGCCCCGGGCGTTCAGCGACGAGAAGCAGACAAGTTGATGCTACTTCGGTCAGTCACGGCTAATGGTTGCGGTGGGACTTTCAAAGTGGACTATGGGTTGAGTGCTGAAATACATGTCGTCGATGTCGGCCTTTGAAATTTTCGATTGAGCGACCTCACCATTGACCACGGGGACGAGCTTCTAAACTGAGCTCCACGATTTTCTGTTTCAGTGCCGGAGATGGAAATCTTCTCATCCGAAGTTGTATTTGTGTGTGTGCAGCGATGAGGGGTGAAGAGGAATCTGAAGGCAGCGAGAGTTTCGGCGGTGAGAGTTGGCAATAAGCTGGTTTTTAATAATTGTATTAGTTGTTTTGACAGCTAATTGTATTAGTTGTATAAGCTGGTTTATAAAAATATGTTTGATAAAATTAGATGTTTGTTATTAGTTATTAATATATAAAAAAGCTATTTGTCATACATTTTAAATATATTGTTTTTAGGTTATAATCATAATTACCTTAAAATATCAATTATTTACATATTTAAAAAATTGAAAATTAATTAATAATAATATAATGGAAGAATTTTTTTTTTTGCCTTGAATATTTGAAATGAAGAGTCAAGGACTAACTAAATAAAAGTTTTAAAATAAATAATGACATATTTTTCATGCTATAATATTGTTATCTACAAATAGGAAAGAATGAATACTTTACACTCAACACAAAAAGATATAAAA